ACTTAATAATTTGATTATATATATTATTAAAAAATCATGATCAAAGTAAATTGTGTAAATAGTGCAAAACTCAAAATGTTGGAACTATTAAAGAACGGAGGAATTACTAATTATGTTTCTGATCTTGAGTTTAATTAATTACCCTCTTCCCTAATCTTTGTCTCACTTTATCTTTTTGGTCTGTCTCATTAAATTTGTCTTGTATCATACTACCTTTGTCCCATTTTATGAGTCATACTTGGTTTGACATAATTATTAATAAAGAAATTGAAAAAGTAAACGTTATGATTGAGATTTGAACATAATAAAATGACATGTTATAGATCATATATTTTTTCCGATAAAAAGAAATGTGACATTATTTTTGGAACAATTCAAAAAAGTAAATGAAATAAATAAATTAAAATGGAAAGATTATTTGAAAAATATTGGAAAAACTGTCAAATAATTACGATACTATTTAGAAAAAGTCAATTGAGTCCACATACATTGAAATGAATCAATTAAGTTCACTAACTATTAAAAATGAGTCAATTAGGCTTTTTAGCCGGTGGGTGGAGGAGTAAAACCGGTACTTTATGATGGTGAGGTACATGTGGCCTTTTTTCTTTTTTCTTTTCTTTCTTTTGGTGGACGAGTAAAACCGGTTCAGGTCAGTGTAATCAACGCACATTCTGAACGTCGGCGGCTTTTGGACGAGGATGACGTTGGCCAGCCACGTCGGGTACTTCACCTCCTTGATGTGGCTGATGGAGAGGAGCATGGTGACCTCCCCCTTGACGAAGTCCCGTCTGTCGGCCGAAAGATAGCGCCACTTTTGCTTGACTGGCGTGGAAGCCGGAATGACTGACAGCCGGTGAGTGATCACCTTCCGGCTGATGCCTGGCATATCATCCGGCCCCCAAGCAAAGATAATCGCGTACGACCGTAGGACCAGGAGGATGCCGTCGCGCTGGTCCTGTGGGAGTTGCTTCCCAATTTTCAAGACTCGCTCCGGCCGGGAGGCATCTAAGGGGACTTCCTCGACCTCTTCGGCTGGCTCAGCATGTGGCCTCTCTTCGTCCTTAGCAACGGTGGCGGTGATTGTGTCTATCCTCTGCCCGGCATCTGCAGCCGGCTTTGTTAATTTCAAGTAGCATGCCCTGGCTATCTTCTGGTTTCCCCTGGCGTAGCCGATCCCGCCACTGGTAGGGAACTTCAAGCATAGGTGCTTCATGGAGATGATGGCCTCCAAATCCTCCAACGCCGCCCACCCCAAGATCAAGTTGTGGGCGCATTGAAGGTTGACCACCATGAACTCCATGTCTATTTGGTGCGATGGGAGCCGTCGCCGACCTCCACGGGAAGGACTATCGTGCCCTCGGCATCGATAGAGTCCCCGGTGAAGCCGGACAGCGGCGTTCGGATCGGCTTAAGCAGTGCCATGTCCAACTTCAGCTGTTTGAAGGTGTCAATGTACATAACATTGACAGAGCTCCCTGTATCGATGTAAGTGCGGTGAATGATAGAATTGCTTATCTCACATCGGATGACGAGGGCGTTCTGTATGATTCGGTACCCGGAGGCAAATCCTTATCGGTGAAGGTGATTGCCTCCGTCTGCTGCTTCTTCGGCTGAGGGGGAACGTGAAATACCTCGCCGATGTAAAGGGACTGAGCCCATTTTTTTCTCTGGGTGGCAGAGTCCCCCCAGTGTTTCCTCCCACAATGAGGTGAATGTGGTTCTTCTTCGGCGGAGGCTCCTCGAAATCTTCGTCGTCATCGCTCATCCTACCGATTTCCCGTTTCTTTGTAGAGGGTTCTCCCCCAGATTTTCCGGTGTTTACCAACGTATTTTTGCGCGGGCCACCTTTAACAAATTGGGAGAGTCCCCCCTGCCGAATCAGGCGTTCGATGGCTTTCTTCAACGTGACGCAGTCGTCAGTGTTGTGGGAGGTGTTTCGGTGGAAACGACAGTAGGTGCCGCCCTGGTGAATGGCATAGATTTCCTTCGCTGGCCGAGGATCCCGTTCAATAAGATCATGTTTCTCGGCGTAATCGAGGATGGTGTTGACCGAGTGTGTGAGAGGGGTCCTCGGCCTTTCCATCCTTGGCCGCCACGGGCGATCCTTCTTGTTCTGTCCGCCAGACCCGTGGCGGTTCTATCTGCCCTGACCGGCCGAGGGTGCGCCGGGGGTAGGTGCAGGATTCGTCTTCCTGGAGGGGTGTCCTCCCTCCTTCTTGTGTCTATGGAGCTCGTCGGTGTCAGCATACAGATTCTCTCGCTAAAGCGCCTTTGCGTATGACCTCGGCGGGTCAGTGATGAGGCTCCTCGCGTATGGGGTGCTGCGGAGGGCTCCCTGGTAAAGGACGAGGAGGGTGCGCTCATCGGCCCCCTTGACCTCGTTGGTCTCCTTCGTCCACCGATCTATGAATGACCGGAGTGATTCGTCGTGCTCCTCTTTGACGGAAAGGAGATGGGTGAAATATTTCTTCGCGCGCTTCCTCCCGGCAAAGGGTGTGAGGAAGCGCTGTGCAAGATCCTGCCAGGAGTCTATGCTTCCTTCGGGGAGCGCATTGAACCACTCATACACTGGCCCTTCAAGAGTGGAGAGGAACCAGCGGCAGAGGTATTCATCCGATGCATTCACCATTAGCATGTTGTTCTGATAGCGGCTGAAGTGCTCCTGAGGGTCGGTGCGGCCGTCGTAGGATTTGATGGCGTTTCCCTGGTACTTCTCGGGAATAGGAGCTGAAAGTACCCTTGTAGTGAAGGGGGTCAGGGTCCTGACCTGGATGACGGGGTCACCTCGCCCTTAGCGAGCTCCCTTTCCAGAGCGCTGACCTTATGCATGAGCGCGTGGTAACCGGGATCTCCGGACGTGCTGGCCGTAGGGATGTTGGTCGATTGTCTGGCCTCCATCTAGGCCAGTCTCCTTTCCAGCTGGGCGATGACTTCGTCCCGAGGATCTTTGGAGGCCGCAGTGGCGCCCTGCTGGTTACGCACACGGGTTGCGTGAGCCGTGTTGATCTAGTGGCACACGTCATCCTCGTGTAGTTTCCCTTTTCCCTTGTCCAGGCAGGGCCGATCCGCTGTCTGGGACACGGACCCCAAGCATTCCCTAGGTGAGTCAGGCTCACGCTCGCCGATCCGTCCCGCCATCCTCTCTGTTGCTGGCCGACGGCGCGTGTCACCTAGCCTATTGAAGGCTGAGGCTTTTCCACGCGCTGGGGCCGGTCCAGCTTGTAACACCCCGGGGCCCCACATGGACCCGAGGTAGTTACTCTAGACATCTAATACTGTCCCCACAAACCACCACGAGCCTTTACCGCGCACTTTGTCCTCACTCATGGGCGCCCTGAGAAACTTCCCAGGAGGACACCCATCCCAAGTGTACTCCCGTGCAAGCACGCTTAACTTTGGAGTTCTTGGGTGATGAGCTCCCTTAAAAGGAGATGCACCTCTGTTGGTATGAGTAGTACTATTAATCCTCTTAAATTGATCTCGGGTATTACAATCACCCCCAACTTAGGATCGCAACGTCCTCGTTGCGCCCTTAACAATCTCAATCGAACCCCAGAATCTTACCCCGCTAAGTGCCCTGCCCGATATCCAACGGGTCAACACACTGTCGCAGGGTTGCTCTGATACCACCTGTAACACCCCGGGGCCCCACGTGGACCCGAGGTAGTTACTCTAGACATCTAGTACTGTCCCCACAAACCACCACGAGCCTTTACCGCACACTTTGTCCTCACTCATGTGCGCCCTGATAAACTTCCCAGGGGGTCACCCATCCCAAGACTACTCCCGTGCAAGCACGCTTAACTTTGGAGTTCTTGGGTGATGAGCTCCCTTAAAAGGAGATGCACCTCTGTTGGTATGAGTAGTACTATTAATCCTCTTAAATTAATCTCGGGTATTACACAACTCGAAGCGGGGAAGCAGGGTGAGAGCGGGATGACGACGTGTCCTGAGGCTGCACCCCTTCGTCGTTGCCAATCCTGATGGCTAACGGCTGGGGTTGAGGGGGCGGTGTAGTGTTCTCCACAGTCCTAGGTATGAGTGCACTAAGGACGGTGGGATTTTGGGCCAGGCTGACGATGATGGCCGAGAGTGCGGCCTAGACCTGAGGGTCAACGGCAGGAGAGGCCGGTTGCACCGAGGCATTGTCGCCCTTTTCTGCGCGCTTCTTGTCCAAGCCGATGCGGGTGTCTGGGTCGCCGCCGTTGAGCTTATGGCGCAGGTCAGTTGTGAGGTCGATGGCTTCCTGGAAGACATCTCCCCCTGCGGCCTTGTCGGCCGTTGCTTCCTCCTCGTGTTCCCTGTTCTCCTGAGTCTCAAGGACGGTCTTGCCGACGAGGTTGCGGTTGGACTTAGTTCTTCCCATGATCAGTTAGTTATGCTTGGTAGCGCCGAAGGATGCTAACTTGATTGATCTAGCTCTCAATGAAAGCACCACATGATAGAGGGGGAATGGAGGAGGAGGAAAAACAAAAAACGAAAAAAGAAGAGGAAGTGTTGCAGGGAGAGAGGGGGGAAGGGGTGGGGGAGGTCTCCCATCTCATGGCGCAGGGAGAGATGGGAAAGAAGCAGTAGACAGAAAAGTAAAATAAAAAGAGAAGAATAAAAAGAGGGAAGAAGAGGAAGAAGTAAGGGGGAAGAAACAAGGCCTAAGTCACGAACCAAAGAAAGAGGACGGGAAAGAAATTAAGAGAAAAGGGGAAAAATAAAGGAAAAAAGAAAACAATTCAAAAATGTCTAGGTGGCTTCCACTTCCGCTTAAATGGAAAGATTGGTTAAAATTTGAGAGATGGAAGACTTAAATGACTTTTTCATAATAGTACGTGAATTTATTTGACAGTTTGCCTGAATAATGACGATTCATGTTTAATTTAGTCATACTTTATACTAGGGAAAAAATATGGAGTAGCCATTGTACAGTTTCACTTTTTCAATAATTGCATCGTTGCCTCTACGTCTCTAACGGTGGAGCCGTAAAGGTAGTAATTAATACAGACGTCTCTAATGTGCTCATCGAAAAAAATCGGTCAATTCCTCTCCCTGTCTAACGCGTCAATGTTTCCTTCAAGCGAAGAGAGGACTGACTAATCAGCAGCTCATTCAACCTTCCAAAATATCTAGCAGTAGAAATGGAAAACACAAAAACCCAATCTTTTCTGCTTCTCTCTAAAAAGCTTCCTTTTTTATACATATTTTCCTCTCTTCGCCTCATTCTCCTCTCACCCTCTCTTTCAGCAGCTTCCAATCCTGAGCTCCACCCACCAGAAGGTACGGCGGCGCGCCATTTCATTCCACAGATCAACTGATCTATTTCACCGTCACGTGCGATTGCTCTGCTGTAACGGCACCGTCTGCCACGTCACCGCCATGTATGCATCTTCACGCCCTTCTTTACTGATTCTTCTGTCCGAATACGTGTCCATTTTTTCCAGTGGAACCTTTACTGTTTAATCAATTCATGTTTTCATATCTTCCCTTCCTGATGGGATCATTTCAATTACCACTCAACTATGAGAATCACTTTATGATCCCGTTTGTTAGACCTCTTTTTTCAATACTGAGTAAATGTGTAAATGGTAACATTAATATTTGTTTTGATCCATTTTGATACTTTAAATTTTTTAAAAACAAAACTGATAATTTAAGTGCATTTATTTGTTTCCTAATTGTACCATTTAAAAAAAATGCTTAAACAATCTTACTTATGATTAGACCAGACCAAACTTGACCAGTTATAAAATATACATAGATCAGACATTTACCATCAAACCAGATCATACCAGACTTGAACAGACCAGATCAGACTAGACTTGGACAGTTATAAAATAATACACATACACGAGACATTTATCAGATCGGACTTTCAGATCAGACCAGATCAAAAAATTAAAGTCCAAAAGAAAACATCCTTTTTTTGGAAGAAGGCGACTTAAATTGATATCACATCATTCAGAAAGGGAACAAGAAGATAAAAGGAACACTTCCAACCGCCGACCCTCGAACCAGACTTGGAGCCAATCACCCTGTAAAAAGAAATATGGCTCGCTGATCCTATAATGGGTCTGAATGAGCCTAACGCGGTTAAAATAGAACCCTTATCACCCAATCTTAATGCAAGAGTCTGACAGAAATAAAAGTAAATGGCAACAACAAAAACAATCTGATGAAAGTAAAAAATAAAATAGAAAGCATAAAAGTGGAACTTTATCTGCACTTTGACAATCCCGAAGGCCTTCTCCTGTTCTCCCCTGAGCTGGAGCGTCGGGAACCAGACCCGCCCCCTCTCCGTTTTTTGGGAGATCCAGTGTCATGTTTTCCCCCTCACTATCCTCGTGTTGTGCTTCCTCCCACATCCTTTTGCGTTTCTGCTCTCTCGGGATTCCTTCTGTAGCTGCTGCTCCATCCGTCTCATCTTTAGCTTTTCTAGCGTCCACCACGGTGAGAGTCCATTTCTGCCCTGCTTCCCCGCCTCATTCTTCTCTGTCCTTCTCTTTTGCCTGATGAATGTCCTGCCGAGTTGAGCCCCTCTCAACTGACGAACCTTCAAGGACCAACCACTTGTTGGCCCCCATTAGGTGAGATTTTCCTCCCCCCTCCAGCACGGAGACTAACCCCATAGGGTTTGTTCGTTTCTTTGCTCTCACACTCATAAGCCAGAGGGCAAAATCTGTCAGCATGACAAATGATACCACAAGCAAAACAGAAACTAGGAAGTTTCTCGTATTTAAAATCCACCCAATGGCCTATACCCCGTCCTTTCCTAAGCATCGTACCCACTTTCAAAGCTTTTCCAACGTCCATACAAACTCTAATTCTCATGTAAGAGTTCCACCCCTCCTCAAACTAACTTTCATCAAAACTAATAAACTTACCAATAAAATTGCCAACTCTCCTAGCCACACCTAAATTCATAAAATTGCAAGGTACATTATGTACCTGCACCCAGAAATCTGCCTCATTTAGAGGAACCCGAAGGGGAATGTCTCCCGGCTTTAATGCCCTTAGTACCAGCAAGTTCTATTCAAAAAGCCACGGACCACTTCCAAGCACACGTTCCATGTCAATAATATGATAAAAAGTGAATAGATATCTTTTTTCACCGATCTCTTTGATTGAGATCCCTTTTCCAGGACGCCATAGAGAAGCCATGAGGTCCCTAAACACCAGAAATTTCACCATTCTATCCGTGAGTAGAGTACCCACAACCGGGAAGGTAGCGCTACGCTCCGATGTCTCTCCCTCGCCGGCTATTTCCTCGTCAAAAACAATCTCGTCCTCGGCTCCACCTATGGCCATGTGGTTGTATTTGTCCGCGATATCCTCCATCCCACCCAACTGCTTTGATTCTCGTCCGAGCAAGAGGGGTCTGCGTGATTCACTTTATCAACGAAGGGTGTAAAAGCAGAATGAAAACAAACCTACAAGAGAGAAGCACTATTTCAATCGCCTCTCTGCGTGCTTTGCCGAAGAAGATCCGCAACCTGCGGCGTTACTAAACCCTACGCTGAGGAAGACGACCGCATAGGAAGCAACATATCAAGCCAAAAGAAAACATCTTTAATAACCTTAAATTTACGTGAATTTAAAACCAATTGCTTTAGCAAGTTAATGAGGTCATCAGGGTAATGGAAATCATTTGTCAAGTAACTAGTAGACTTTAGAAAGTGACAGTTAGCACTACAATTGACGACGTAACACGATAAACATCAAAATTGGACCAATGAGGTCATGAGGGTTATGCATTTTTTTATAAACGCTCTGATAATAGTTGAAAGATTAAAAGTATCACTTTTAAAAAAGTCAAAGTATTAAAGATAATTTTTTTAAAGACGAATCCGTTTTCAGATAGGGTCACATGTTTCAATTTTTATCAAAGTGGTTAATGTGTTTGAATTCTGTAATCACAAGAGGATCACGCTGTTAAAAACGCCTGAAAAATATGATGGATAGTAACTCCGATTTCCAAAAGTTCCTGAAAAATTAAAAGAAAAATATCGGAAGGTGCACCTTATCAAGATGATCTCCAAACCATCTTTGTATTTGGATTTTTCGGATCTATTTGGATTAGTTTTTAAATATGAATTCACTAATATCACTTTTCCGGTGAACTTACCAGTGATAAGGGTGGCTAGAAACAAAAAAGAAAGATGGCGCACCTTCCGGTATTTCTCTTTTGTTTTTCGGGCACTTTTGAAAGTCGAAGTTACTGTTCATCGTCTCCCCCCAGCGATTTCTAACGGCATCAGGTGCCAGGACCCTATTGTGATAAAGAAATCGAAACACATGAACAACTTTGATAAAAAATGAAACACATGATCCTATCTGAAAACGGGTCCAACCACAAATACTTTTTCCGTACTTTTCTCAAGTATCTTTCACACAAGAGTTGAATGGCTAGAAGTAAAAAAGCTTAATATTGAGTACGAAAAATATCAGTGACATAATAGTCGGAGACCTATGTTATTTCCAATGTCAGTAACTTTGTTGGGTATACAACTTGTTAAAGTTAACACTATAAAGTACCGTGACATAGTTTATTGCCGATGCTTTTGCTCTTAGCAACATATTTACATAAATAGGGCCGGACTAAAACTATTTACGAATATATTGTTGGACTTAACCCAGGTTAAAACCGTTAAATGGAATGTCGACTTACAAATCACCACACAAGTAACTATCTTAAGGAAAAATTGACAAGAATAATTCCACCTTTCACCGGTCTTCTCGTAATAATCCCACCTTTAAATAATCCCAAAATAATCCCACCTTTGCACCTCATCTTCTTTCATTGGATCCTGATCATGTTTTTTACTCTTTCTTTGAAAATTATATAAATAATCTCACCTTTCACTTTTTAATTATATCCTTATAAATGTGAGATTATTTATATAAGATTTTTAAAAAAGGTAAAAAAACTTGGTCAGGGTCCAATGAAAGAAGATGATGTAAAGGTGAGATTATTTTGGGATTATTTAAAGGTGAGATTATTATGAAAAGATCAGTGAAAGGTGGGATTATTCTTGTCAATTTTTCTTTATCTTAAAACCCTTTGTTGGTTTTTCATGCCTTAACCAATATGATGGAAATAATTACAAAACTACTACAAAGGAAGCGTTGGATGAATTTGCGAAGTTCCAAACCTAAAAATTTTTGTAAATACAGATTCTAATTCAATGGAGTTATCTCTCTTGATAACTTCTTCATAAAAGTGCACTGGTATACTGAATAGCTTTCCTAATTGTTTAATCAAGGGTTATAGAAATCAGGGTTATGGTTTGACGTGAAGTAATTAGTAGACTTTAGAAAGTGACAGTTATCACTACAATTGACGAGGTAACACGATAAACATCAAAATTGGACCAATAAAGGTTATGCATTGTTCTTATTTAATAATAGTTGAAAGATTAAAAATATCACTTTTAAAAGTCAAAGTATTAAAGATGAAATTTTCTAAAGACGGATATTAAAAGTGTCTTTCCCAAGAGTTGAATGACTAAAAGTAAAAAAGTTTAAAATGGAGTACCAAAAATATCAGTATTCAGTAACATAATAGTCGGAGAACTATGTTATTTCCATTGTTAGTGACTTTGTTGGGTATACAACTTGTTAATGTTAACACTATAAAGTACCGTGACATAGTGTTATTGTCCTACATCAGATATCTTTAAAGCAATTAAACAATATACGGAGTATTAAGATTTGGGCTCCTTCTATCAGGTTGACCTTTTAGGATGGAACCTCAAACCTTAACATGACATCAGTGTCAAATCAATCCATGTTGTGGGCCCCCTATGAAAAAATGATTACACGATTATATTTTTTTTGACAATGACGAACTGATGAAAAATGAATGATGGTACGATCGAGACAAAATATATGGTCGTGAGGAGGGGGGTTATTGTCCCATATCGGATATCTTTAAAGTAATTAAACACTATATTAAGATTTGGACTCCTTCTCCTATCAGGTTGACCTTTTAGGATGGAACCCCAAATCTTAACACATACTCCCTCTGTCCCGAAATAAATGTCCTGCTTTCCCGAAATGGATGTCCCAAAATACATGTCCCGCTTTTTTACTTTCCTTATTTGGTAAACAAATCTATACCAAATAATGTCTAACAATGCAGAACAGTGTCACTACAGTGCCAAACAGTGTCGCTACAGTGCCAAACAGTGTCGCTATAGTGTGAAGTCAAATTCATTTCCTTAATCTATGTGAAGTCAAAGCAGGACGTTTTTTTTGGACGGAGGGAGTAGTTTATTGTCGATGCTATTGCTCTTAGTAACATATTTACATAAATATTGTCGGGTTGAAACTATTTACGAATATACTGCTGGTCTTAATCCGGGTTAGACAAAATCGCTAAATGGAATGACGACTTATAAGTCGTCAAACATAGTAATTATCTTAAAACCCTTTGCTGGTTTTCCATGCCTTAACCGATGGGGGAAATAATTACCTGCAGGGATCTGAAGTAATAACAGAACTACTACAAAGGAAGCATTGCATGAATTTGCGAAGTTCCAAACCTCAAAAATTCTGTAAATTCCGATTCTAATTCAATGGATCGGAGTTATCTCTCTTAATAACTTATTCATAAAAGTGCACTAATATACTGAATAGTTTTTCTAATTGTTTAATCCAGGTATCTCAGTCCTAATTATCTGAATGGAGCAATCCTGCAACAGTGGACATCAATGCAATTGCTTGACTTGTAATCATCATATCTCTTCCTAATCTTAATCTCTTTGCTTTCCGCGGAAGGGTCTATATAACATTATAACATACGTAGTACTCCGTAATTGTGTTGGCTTTATTTACTTATTTCAGATATCAACTTTTTATCATACTTTAAATTGGATTTTGCAACACTACACCACTCACCTCTCATTATAGTAATTCGGTCTTTCGATTATTTAAAACTGATTTAACTACTTGTAAGGAATTAACATTATCATGATCGACCAACATTAAGAATTGTAAATTACACATCAATTTGGAGTGGATTTGCGATTATTTAAGGTGGAATTAACATTATCGTTGTCGACCAACATTAAGAATCGTAACTTACAAATCAATTTGGAGTGGATGAAATATTTATTTATGCACCCGATCACACCCACTACGTATATTTGGTGTATGCAAATCAACCCGCACGGGTAGCTCAGTTGGTTCAGTGATGGGAAATTTGGATCAAGTGATCAAGGTTCGAAACCCGCAGCGGCCGTGTGGAGGTCACAGAACCTGAAATAAGGTTGGGCCTCTGGTGCGCACGGGAAAAAGGCCTACCATCATTGGGCCGACTGAGTCACCGTGATTAACATCCTCCCAAAAATTCTGTCGGGTCGGGGTATGGGGGGCTCCTGGGGTGGGAGATTCCACCTTTTGGACCAAGGTGTATGCAAATCATGATAATCTCAAGATTGACATACAAAAGATATATACACTCTTGCAAAAAAGTCGTGTGACAATAATACAATATCGATATATCATAATGGTTAACACTTCACATCACTTATACATCAAAGATATATTTATAATAACCACATCACTTGTTTGTAAATTTTTTGTTAGTTTATTTGTACTTGAAGCATAATCATAATCTTGGAGCTCGATCACTTGATAATCATATTTTCACCTTATGATTTTTTTTGAAAGGAAAAGGATTAACTTTCATTCATAGAATCAATGTTTAGTACATGATAAATAAATCTAGGAGTAGAACCAATCCAACAAACATAATTAGACAAAGAACAAGCAGCTCTAGCCAATTTATGAGTTTTATTAGTCAATTTTTTTACATCATTCAGTCGTTTCAATCTGAATTTCATCAATTTTCAACGTATTCAACCGATTCCGGTGCTACTAAAACCACTCTCAATTTTAAAGGAAACACAAAAGTCAAAAACTTTCCAACTCACGTTCTTTCTTCTTTAGGCTGCGCCTCATTAATTTATTTATTACCTTAAATGACAAAAAAAACTTTAAAATTAAATTCCACACGCTATTTGAGTGATGAGTAGCAACTCATTCTTCTTTCTTCTTCTTCTTCATTTTCTATCTGCCACTCCGCATCTCCTGATCTGATGAGCAGCTCTTTGGATAATGCAGTGGTAGTTCTAATCTGTGTTTTGAGCCAAGCAGAGGGGAAGCTAATCAACGTGGTTGACCGGTCAACAAAAACCAGTAGCTGCGATCTGTTCCAAGGAAGTTGGGTTTATGATGAATCTTACCCCCTCTATGATTCATCTCAATGCCCCTTCATACAGAAGCAGTTTGATTGTCTACACAACGGAAGGGCGGATAAAAACTATACCAAATACAGATGGCAACCCCATGGCTGTAATATATCCAGGTAATTAATTATTACTACTCCCTCCGTCCCGAAATAATTGTCCTGTTTTGACCTTCACACAGATTAAGAAATAATGTTGATTTTACACTGTAGCGACACTGTTTGGCACCGTAGTGACACTGTTTGGCACTGTAGCGACACTGTTTGGCACTGTAGCGACATTGTTTGGCACTGTTTTGCACTGTTTGACACTGTTTTGTATAGATTTGTTTACCAAATAAAGAAACGAGACAATTATTTCGGGACGGACCGAAAAGTAAAACAGAACAATTATTTCGGGACGGAGGAAGTATGTATTAATAATTCTTCAACTTCAATTACTACATTATTCTTTTTATTTATAGACAATAAGGCAGGCTCTGCGACAGTACCACACTAGCTTGAGTTTTGTGGCCCTCCCGCTATGGTCATGACCACGACTCTAGGACCCACTCCCCAAAGGAAATTGGTCATTGTAGCCTTTGGAGGACTAAAATATACTTTCTGGGTCCTATAAAATTTGGTTTAAATTTCCTTTTCTTGGCCATCCTAAAAAACTTTGTCATTGTCATTTAAAGTAAGAAATATGTGGCTAAAATTAATTTTCTCTTCTCTGCACAAATTTTAACAAAATAATTTTTATTTTATTAATCCATGTGCAAGTCAATTTTGGCCAAGTTTTACGGAACGGAGGGAGTACTGTCGTATGAAGTCCCTCTATCTTTTAAAACTTTGCCAAATTTGACCGACATAGAGATTAATAAAGTAAAAACTGTGAGATTGAGGTCTGTGCAGAGGAGAGATAATTAACTGCAAGTCTGCAACCACAAATTATTAACTTAAAAGAAAAAGTAGCATAATCAGTGAGACATTCAAAAAAGAAAAGTTGTCAAAATTTTAAGGGATGGAAGGAGTAACATTTTTTCAAACATATGATCATATGCTTATTTTTTACTAAATAAGTCTGATCATAACATTTCTACTCTTGATTAATTAATCTTATTAATCGTCCTCCCTAGTTCCTCTGCATAACCAATGTTAGTCCATTGGTGACGGGTCACCTGGTGGCGCGCGGTGAACGGTGAAATTCTGGCAGATAGGCGGTAGTAATGAGGGGCGGGGGGCGGGGGGGGCGGTGGGGGGGGGATTTATGTGGGTTGGAGGGGGCAGTCCAACAACTGGCCGCGACGGTCCGATGACCTGAGGGCTGCAATGCTCTATCCTATGAGGCTAATTTTGTCCAGTCATAAATAAAAAGTCATAATTAGGAAACTAGTTTTGTTTTGTCCCTATTTGATTAAATCTCCCATTTATATTGTGTCTTCTTTATGAAACTTGAATAAAATAGTACTACCTTCATTCCACTAACATTGAGACATGAGAGGTGATGCGATTATAAGAAAAACAAGTGTAACACCCGGGGCATGCCCCGGTATGTTAATGCAAATTATAATATTAAATATTAATCGAGGTTTTTAATTTTTACCGAACTTGCAAATAACCTTTTTTGTTGAAAAAAGAATATATACACTAATACGGTATATTTTATTATTATATTGGTCTTAGACTTACTATTATTTTTATACTCCATTTCTGAGCACATTAATTGAAGAACGTCCATACTATGCAAAGCATTTGATGATACAATTATGCAATAGTTGATAATGTCTAAATTGGTTGTATTAGCTAATTCAGCCGACACAGTCAAAAAATTAACATCAACCTTTTTTTATTATTACACAATTCAGCATACGAAATCAAAAATGACGTGTTTGATGAAAAAGTTGGTTGATAAGTCTGATAAGCCACAAAACAGAAATACCAAACGGACTCTAAATTGAAATGAGGTAAACATTTAATACCTAAAATCAAAGATTAATTAAAAGAGAATTAGATCATGTATATGAACAATGAAGATTATTAAAGATGAAAAGATAATGATATTTCGGTGGATATGCACAAACATGTTGTATTTTCTCTACCTTTTTCTCCTTGTGCTTTTTCCATTAACCCTTTTAGCTTTTTTTGGAATTAATAATTATTTTAAACAAATATTTTAATGCGTGGACTCAAGTTTTTCCATTGCTATCTCTAGGTTTTTTATCCTAGTTTTTCTCCTAGTGTTTCCCCTTTACACGTTTTCATCTCTTGGCTTTTCCTTCAAGCGCTCTAATTAAGTGTTTTATTAATAATAATGATAATATACAGTTTTGTGTTAACCAATAGGAGAATGACATGTTAGCGATTAATAACTATGTTTTACTATATAAAATAATAGATGAGTTTATGTGATTTATATTAAATAGATAAAGTAAAATTAAAGTAAGATTGATTCGTAATCACAAATTCTTTACTAAAATTGGTATGAGTTAATCATAGTGGAATGTACAGAAAAAGATAGATGTGAATAAACTTCAAGCCTTAATCTAAAAGAGTTTAGGATTGCTTAATAATGAATTAATCTTTAAAAATAATAAATATAGGGAGAATGAGAGTCTAACAAATTTCCATCATTTGCAATGGTGTAAAAGATTCACTATATTTTGACTTGGGAAATGTGATAAAGCAAAATGGTTCGCTAAATTGTTTGTGTTTTTTTGTTGTGAAGTAGCAGTCAGTCCATGCAATTTTTGACACAATTTTTGCTATGGGTCATCCAGAAGCAATCTTTTTGTGCTTTAGTACAGGGGTAAGACAGTGTACATCCGACCCTCCTTACCCCACTGTAAGTGGGAGCCTTTGCGACACTGTGGTGATGATGATGATTATGATGAGAAAGAGAGTCTAACAAATTAATCTTCCACACGATTCCATCCATTTCGTTCTTTTCAAAGTCGTACTCTCATTTGCCTCAATGTAAGAAATACACCAATAAACAACAACAATAACAACATTCAAATCTTAGTCCCAAAATGAAAATAAAAATGTTATCTTGTTAAAATTTGGACACTAAAAACCGGAGTAATAAAAAACCTTCTAGAAGGAATAGAGAGTAGCGAATTAAAAATATAAAAGGATTATACTATCATCTGTTCCGTTTCAATCGCAACATGTTGATTTTTACACTATTCACATGTTTTACTTTGACTACATTTTACGCTATTATTTTATGAAAATTATTTTTTTTTTAAAAATATTGTTCAATTCATCTCATTACAAATATGCAAAATCTGATTTTTAATATTTTTTACTAATAGAATATAGATATAATTACGGTCAAAGACGTGCGTTGTCAAATGTCAAATGTTGATCGTTGCAACTAAAAAAGAACGGAGGTAGTATAATTTTGAACCAAATTTTATACTATCTTTGTTTCATATTGATGTCTTGTTTTTCTTTGACACAATTTTATTTGATAAGAACCACATATTTTTTATGAATCTTCCAAAAGGTTGAATTCTCAATCTCAAAGTCCCCATGTCTCGATCAGACAAGACTTTTGGGAGGTTGCACGTGACGGTGCTCCGTTGGTCGAATGATGGTAGATGATCCAACTTTCCCACTCAACCCATTGAACTCCCACCAAATATTCTAGCTACAGTTTCTTTGTACTTTGCACCTCTATCGTACTTCTCATCATGTTTGATACACCTACTCCTTTTTTTTTATAATCAGGTGTCGGGGCTTACGCTCCCATAATCCTGGAGTCTATGAACTACTCTCCAAAGCCCCTAGATAGTTAAGTCCAGATCTGATCACAGTCAGCCTCGTCAGTACTGGCTCCAAAGGACGAATCTAGCAGGACTTACATCACCTTTCAGGCTGCTCCTCCCACCACACGAACCCGCTACTTTCATTACCATCCTCTCCCTTCTCAGCCGCTGAGCAACTCCGTGAAGGTTAGAAAAATCATTGGGAGCAAGACCTCCCTCCTCTCCCCTAAATGTGCCTAGCGAGATTCGAACCCGAGACCTCCGCTAGGACACGGTAACCTTCCACCCAGTGAGCTGGAATGGTTGGTTGATACACCTGCTCCTCATTTTAGTTGGTTGATGTAGTATTGATTAATTAATTAATTACGGAGTAATAAATACAACAATGAGGTGTTCTTAAAGTTGGCCAGATCAAATTGCATCTCCCATTTAAAAAAAATCATTTTTATTTCCATGAAATCATTTCTATTACAAAAATCATTTCTACTAACACATTCATTATGTCTCATGCTTGGTGTACGAGTATGTGAACATAATTTCTTATCCACTCGTTATCTTCCAACTAAATTTTATGTACCACTCAAAGGTATTTAAGCACCTTTAACACAGAACACAGAAGGAAAGATCACAAGTGGATAAGATAATCAATGGTCATATACCAAAAATGACAAAATTAAAGATGTAGATAAATCCTACATTGAAGCTTTTTGCAATACTAAGAACTCTTACCTTTGAGAAAAAACTAGAGTGGATCTTCATGGATTTAAAAATATTAAAAGCCCGTTTAATTAAGCAAAAACTAGAAAAACATTTTTTCTATTCAAGAATTAAGCTTTTAATTTTGCACATATAATCAAAATAAATAAGATTATAGTTACTTTTATAATTCAATTTATTGAAGAGGATAATTTCATTTTACTAAAAAAAAGTATTTCTTGATTTTATTAATAGGTTACATTTTAGATATATATTCTTAATTTATCAAAAGATTCCAGCAATTCAACTCTTTTACCCATGATTTCAATCAATTTAATCAAATTTTTTTTTCTGAAAACATTTAATTAATTACTTAGCTACAAATGGACTGTAAATTACGTGGTGGACACTCTATGACTATAATAGCGTGTGTAGTACGGACTACGGAGTAGGTATTTTAGAAATAGGCATTACTTTTTGGAAGTCTTTTTCAAATGCCACCGGTATAACATAAACCGTGGTGTACAGATATATCAGGGTTTTTGAGTATTAGGAGACTAATTTAATTTTTTTCTTTTATCACATACTTGCAGTTATACAAAAGATACTTGTGGTTGTGCTTGTTTTCAGATAGGGTCATGTGTTTCACTCTTTATCAAAGTGGTTCATGTGTTTGAATTTCGTTATCACAAGAGGGACATGCCTTTAAAAACGTCTGAAAAAGGCCGTTAAAAGTAACTCCGATTTTCAAAAGTGCCCAAAAAATTAAAAGAAAAATACTGGAAGGTGCGGCTCAATAAGAGGACCGCTAGGCCATCTTTCTTTTTTGTTTTCAGTCACCCTTGTCACCGGAAAGTTCATCGGAAAAGTGATATTAGCGAAATCATTTTTAAAAAATAATTTAAACTGATCTGAAAAATCAAAAGGCGAAGGTGGTTTGGAGGTTATCTTGACGAGGCACACTTTTTCAGTATTTTTCTTTTATTTTTTCGGGCACTTTTGAAAATCAGAGTGATAACGGAATTCAAACACATGACCCTCTAGTGATAACGGAATTCAAACACATGAACTACTTTGATAAAGAATGAAACACATGACCCTATCTGAAAACGAGCACAACCACAAGTACCTTTTTTGTACAACCACAAGTATCTGATAAAAGAAAAAAATTGAATTAGAAGATATGAAGCAGAGATCGTGATGTTCATTGTTAGTCTCCTAATACTAAGTAGAATATGTGAAATGCTCACTAAAAGTACACTAATGCGCATTTAGCGAAAGCTATGATTTTTCGCTTAAATTACAAAAATCAAACCAAAAAAAATTAGGCTATTTTAGTGAAATGAGATGTCTTTCTTAATTGGACCGGATGGATGTACACCCGGATGTAGGATATAGGAACTCCACAAACCTCCTCCTACCGTGGGATCCAATACGGTTGTTTATAAAAAATTAAAAATATGTTGATAGAGTATATCTAGAGAGAAGTGACAGCTAGAGAGAGAAGTGCAATAATATGCTTCAATAGAATGATTTCGTAACCCCTATAACTACTCCCAAGGGGAGTATTTATAGAGAAAATTAGGGCTGGGCTCCCAAGTCTTGGGCTTGGGAGGCCCATCTACAACTGGACCGCTACTGGGCCGAATTCAAAGCCACTAATGGGCTGTACAAATGAGTAAGTATAAAATCTGATTCTGGGAGGTCTTCTTGGCCGACGAGGGCGCGGCCGACGAGGGCACGACCGACGAGGGCACGGCCGACGAGGGCACCCGGGTTCCTTGGGCTCAGGACCATAATCCGAGTTGGCCCCTTTTCGGCCGACGGGGGCGTCTTGGCCGACGAGGGCGCCACTCTGTTGTCTTGTGCTTTCTGTTCTTCCGAGTATGTGGGTCCTGGGGCTCAGACCCATATACTCCATCAGGAGTCCCCCACTCTCTAAGCTGAGACGTAGACGAAGCGAAGGAGAGTAGATTCCTGTGCTTTGTTGTCCTTGGCCAATGCGGGCATCCCCGGGCCGTTAGCCGTTGCGGCGTTGGCGTTGTTTCCTCTTTGGTGATCCTGTTCTGTGCTTTGGCCGTTACCTGTTCCTCGCTGTGGGCGGGGAGGCCGTTTGCTTCCTTGACGTGTTTGAGGATGATGACTGTCTTGTTTCAATGTCGGCCGTTGAAGGCGCGCTTTCCCTTTCCTGGACGTTGGTGGTTGAAGTTCATGTTTGGGCCGGTGAGGCCGTTGAGGTTGATCCTTGCTTCGAGGACGATGGCGTCCTTTCCTTTGGGTGGCCGATGAGGGTGCTCGTGCACTCCTTTTGGCCGTTGTTGATGATGTCTAAGCCTCTGGCCGATGTGTCCATTGTGATGCGTGGACGATGTGGCCATGCTTTGTGGTTGCATTCATGTTCTTTGCATTGTTGCTTTTTGTTTCGTTGAGGCCGATGTAGTCCCCCAGTCCCCCACTGCTTCAGGCCGATGTAGTGTGAGGGGTGAAGGAGTTGCATGAGTCCCTGGCCGAAGCGGTCTCTCCGTAGTCCCCCTGAATCCAACCCTCATGGTGATTTTCTGGCCAAGGTAACCCTGTGGGAGAACCCTTGTGCGCAGATCGCTTGTAGAGAGTTATCATCAAGGGTTAGTACGAGGAGCCGATGGCTGTGGGCTTCTTTGTTCATTTTGTTCTGTGGCCGTTATGGGTGTTTGTTACGTTCCTGGCCGTTGCCGTCTCCTTATTGTTTGGCAGTTGTGATCTTGGCGAGCAAGTGGGACGTTGTGGGCGCTTGCTGGTACTTGTAAAGCCGACAAGTGTGTAGGCCGTTGGAGTCTGGTTTGCCAGTGGGTTGTTGATGTGGGTTGGGCCTGGCCCGTTGGTGACGTGGTGGCCTCCCGTTGGTGGCCGTTGATGTGGCCATTGGGAGAGTGCCACGTGTAGTGACCGTTGGGTGGAGGGGTCTATAAATACCCCTTCCCCTCCGACGAGGAATCACATTTGCATTCTGAATTGTCGAAGTGCTGCCCATTTTTCTAGAGAGATAAACTCCCAAGCTTGTTCTTCGTGTTCGTCGTTGTTCAAGGTTAGTGTTCATCATGATCTTCCTCACTTTTCATATTTTGCTTCCTAGACTAGTGATCTAGTGTTAGGTGTTTGAACACCCTTAGATCTTAAGTTAAATCTCCTTAGGCCCGTAGTAGTAGTTATGAAGAGCTTGAACGACGACTACTACCCCTACGACGACCAGCCCTCCACGAGGTCGCTTGACTACGAGGTGCTCGAGGAGTTTGAGGAGGAGATAGAGCGTTTAAGTCCATACAAATCCGGAGAGCCAGTGGACGAGGAAGGCGAGGACGAGGAGTCCGCCTCCTCTTCAAAGGGTGAGGACGTAGGTGCGTCCCGAGTGGTGGACGGGGCGTCCACTTCTGCTGTCATTCCGTGCCCGAGGCCGGTGTCTGCCGTGAAGGGAGCAGCTAAGCCGAAGAGAGTGAGGAGGCCGAAGAGTGGGCCGGGCACCTCCCAATTGGATCTCACCAACATCTTCCTGATCAAGCTGGAAAGCAGTGCGGCCAACTATCTTGTTGCTCAGATGTACGTGGGGCCGTTCGGGCGGGTTAGGGCACCCAGGCCGACGGATCATGTTCTTCTTCCGCCACCGGGATACTTTGGAGTATACCCGATGAGTTTTGCTAAGGGGTTGAGGTTCCCCCTTCACCCTTTCATTACTGAGTACCTGGACATGGTAGGGCTTCCCCCGGCCCTGCTGACGCCGAACAGCTACTCCCTGATGGTGGGGTTTTTGCTCCGGTGTGAGGAGTTGGGCTACAGGCCGACGACGGCACTATTCATGAATCTGTACCAGATCGGCCGAGGAAGTCACAAGAACTGTGCGGCCTATGCTACTCTTCAGCAGCTGCCGAAGAAGAGGAGTTTCACGGATTTGCCTACGTCCATTCATGGGTGGAAGAGCAAGTTCGTGTTTGTGTCCATTGGTGAGAGTGGCACCGAGTTTCCCTCCCTCGGCCATACCGGGAGGTTTAACCTGCACGACCCGCCGAAGAGCTCTATTCTGGACGCTCAGGTGGAGGCTTTCTTGGAAGGGGGCCCGAGGAGCGTGAAGGATTACATTACTGAATACAAGATGGCCGCCCTCGGCTTCGTGAGGTACTATGTCTATGGTGACAAGGAGGATGACCTCCAACTCTGGCCGAGGATGACCACCACCTTCGAGGAGGCCGACGGCCCGGATTTGGGCATTCCTGCTGAGGCCGATGGTAATTCTTTCTTCGGCTTTCTGTCTTTATGTTCTGTCCTTTGCCTTACTAATCTGTTGTGTTTTTTCCTTTGTAGATTTTGCCATGGACCGATGTTCTATGATGGCTATTGCCAAGGACAAAGCGGCCGAGGAGCTGGCTGCTAAGGCGGCCGAGGCGGCCAGACGTGCCGCGGCCGGTGGGAGCGGGGCTACTGCTGATGCGGTCCCAAAGCTTGCTCCATCGAAGAAGAAAAGGCCGGCCACTGACGGCCAGAAAAAGTTAACCGAGGCTGGCCTGAGCATCTCGAAGAAGACGAAGAGGGCTCCTTCCCCTTCTCCGGCTACTGAGGCCGGTACTCTGACTGTCCCCAGCGTGGACGATAGTGGTCCTGTCGTGGACCTTACTGCTGCTGGTGATGCTGCTCCATCACTGCCTCTCGTCCAGGAACCACGGACGAAGAGGGCCGGCAAGGAGATTGCCGGTGCCACCTACCAGAAGGTGGTAGAATACCCCGTCGGCGGGGGCGTGTTTAATGATCTCGTCCCTGGCCACGTCGTCCTGGCCCAGGCCATGCCCGCCAAAGATCGGGCTTACTTGAAGAAGCTCGGGGAAGCGAAGATTTACGAGGGCGGCATGGACCTCCTCGTCCAAGTAAGTTACTGTCCTTATGTTTTTGTCTTTCTCTTCGTCTGTGTAGAGTCTTTTGCCTGACCTTTGTTTTCCTTCTGCAGAGTGCCTTTATGCTTATGGAAAGCCATAAGAGGCAGTATTGGGAGATAGCTCGCTTGAAAGAGCTGGAGCAGAAGGCTGCCTCAGCCGATGAGGCGGTAGCTTGCCTTGATCGGCTCTGGGAGGATGCCAAGGCGTTGCAGGCAAGGGCTGAAGAAGCCGCCGCAGCCAGGGACGATGCCCTGGCCAAGCTCGAGGAAAGCAAAAGGGAACTCGAGGAGTCCCACAGGGCGCTTGAGGCCGAGAGGCGCAAGAGCGAGGAGGCCGTCAAGGCGAAGGCTGAGGCCGAGGCCGCTGTCGTGAGGGCTGCCGATGAGGCCGTCGAGAAGTTCCTGACCGAGGGGTGGAAGGCCGATGAGAGGCTCCCCTGGTGCTACGAGGTGGTGGCCGCCAGGCTTGAGAGTTGGGGGATGAACTCCCCCGCCGGCCAGGAGTATTTCAGCCGAGAGATGTCTGTGTATTATAACCTGGGCCAGGAGCGGAAGCAAAGGCTCCTGTGTCGGCGGCTATCCCGGGCGTTGAAGGCCATGAATTACACGTCTGGGTGGGCTAGACGGAACCTGAAGCTGCCGAAGCTGATGAAGGATCCAGAAGAGCAGGCCAAGCTTCCGCTGTCGGAGCGAGAGCCCCCATAGAAAGCTCCGGCCTCGGCGAGCCGGACTACACTGAATTCGACTTCCTGGACGATGCCACTAGCGCTGCGGCCGCCGCCGAGGAGGGAGTTGACGAGGCCGAAGAGGCCGCCGAGGAGGGAGCCGACGAGGTTGAAGAGCCAGCCGCGGATGAAGATGCCTCGGAGGCTTGATCAGCTATTCCCTGTTGTAATTAGCTTTTCATTTTTTGCCAAATGATGTAACGGCCGAAGTGCCCCCAATTGTAATGAACTCACTATCAATTGAAGAAATTTTTGATGTCCTTTTCGGCTTTGAATCCCTTGTATGCTTGTTTGCTTTTTGTCGTTTGTTGAAATTTTTTCTAAGTGTCAAGGTCACAACTGGGGTCACCTCGCGAGTGCACGCTACGTCCATGGGGTAGTCCACCCTGTCCGGTGGCCTGGTCGGCTTGTTCGTCGTTGCTTAACTATCATAACACTTAGGATTTTTTCCAAAAATTTCCTAAGTGTTTTGGATTCTTGTAGTTGCTTCCCTTCCGGCCTGGTGGCCTTGTCGGCCTAACCGGTGTTGATGTAGTATCATAACACTTAGGATTCTTTCGAAAAATTTCCTAAGTGTTTTTGGGTTTTTACAGTTGCTTCCTTGTGGCATGGTGGCCTTGTCGGCTTGACCGGTGGTCCTGGGCTACCATAACACTTAGGATTTGGGTCCACGAAGTTGCTTTCTTTCCGGCCTGGAGGCGTTGTCGGCCTGACCGGTGCTCCTTTGCTGTCATCATAACACTTAGGCTTTTATCAAAAATTTCCTAAGTGTTTTTGGGTTCACTTAGGTGCTTTCCTTTTACCCTTGATCGTGGTGTCCGCTACGTCCATGGGGTTTAGTCTCTCCCCATTATTGGCAAATGGTTTGGGTGATTTGCCAAGTGTTGAACCAGTGTCATTGTCGGCCTGCATTCCTGTGTTGTGGCCGATAAGGGCACCTTCACCTTAGTCATTTGGACTTTGAATTTTTTTCAAGTACATATGCAAGGCGTAGGTAGCTAACGGCCTTGGAATATATATGTACCCGCTTCGTCCAGAGTTCTTCCACTTGAGTACTTAGAGAATTTTCCAAGTGTAAATGCTGGGCATTTACTTCTTTGCGGTACCGCTGTCGGCCAAGGAGGTGGTCCTACCTTCGTCGGCCAGCCATGGTTCCTTGTTGAGGAATCCTCTTTTCTTTTTTCTCAGGATTTTTTCTAAGTGTTTGGTAAACACTTGAACCAATTCCCAGAGAACTTTCACTTGGCCAGCAGCCTTGGTTCCAGTGCCTGTATCGGCTATCCTGGCTGCTGTGGCCGGTAAGGATTGTTTCCTGATTGCTTGATCCTTCCGCGGGTGTGTGCAGTGCCCGCTTCGTCCTGGTCATCCTCAGGATTGTGATTCTTTGTTTCATACCAAGCGTTGGTGCTTCAAAGGACTGTGGCCGATGAAGGTCACCTCTTGCGTGTCACCCAACCGATGCGGTTAGGGTTTTATAGGCGTGTGTCGGTCTTGATTATTCCCTTGTAGTGTGTGGACGTGTCGTCCATGTTGCCTGTCAGTGGTACTACACTTGTGTTCAATTGATATGTACTTGGCCTAGTTGGGCCTGAGTTGTGGGGATTTTATTTTTTCATTGCTCGAGGCCGGCAAGTGTGCGCGGCCGTCGGCTTCCCTCTTTTTCCCTTGTATGTTTTTTTTTTCGTTTCGGGGGGTATCCTTCTTTCAGGCTTCGGCCGAGGGGTGTGCTCGTCCTTCGGCCGGTTCGGACTTCGTTTATAACGTCCGTGGTCTCAGGGCGGGTCCCGTCGCCTATTTATGACGCGGGCTAGACTTTTGGTCGGTTTCCAACGGCTGTCGTTGCCCATCCCTGAGTTTTGGGATTTTGTCACCTCGGCCATGATTTCAGGCCTGTCGTCCTGCGTTCTGGCGCGTGGACGATGCGGTGAGCTTCCCGTTTCAAGACGTGGGCCGTTTGCGGGCCCCTCGTCCTGGGGACATCGTCGGCCATACCTGAGTGTTTCACTTCTAGGCTTACGGGGCCAGGACGATGTGCTCTCTCAGCTAGGCCTGAGCCCTTTGCTGATACAAAATACAATGGAGTGCCTGAGCTTGTCGCTTCGTAGGCTGCGAATGCAAGGGGCCATGTCGGCCAGACCTGAGCCTTTCGCTCTAAGGTGGCCGACGAGGGCACCTGCTAATGTTTTACTTTGAATTTCCAGAGAAAAAATCAGAACATGATTTTATTCATAAGTGGCTCGAGGCCGAGGGTGGCGTTCAATCAGTAACCCGTTAAGGGGTGAGGGCTTCGCCGTCTACACCTCCTTCGGATTACTGATAAAACTTCACCAGATGGTGTACATTCCATGTTCGTGGTACATTGGACCCATTCGGGCGTTTAAGCTTGTAGGTGCCGGGTTTGACCACGGCACTGACGATGTAGGGACCTTCGTACTTCAATGCTAGCTTGCCACCCTCTGTCGGCTGGCTTGCTTCCCTCCGGCGGAGGACGTAGTCCCCCACCTGAAATTCCCGGGAACGTACCTTGGCGTCATAGTATGATTTTACTTGACGCCGGTAGTTCTCTGCTCGGACGTAAGCTTGTTCACGCCTCTCATCAACCAGGTGTAGGTCAATCTTCATGTTCTCTTCGTTGGTGTCAGGCTCATATTGTTCCACCCGTCGGCTGGGGATGGCAACTTCCGTAGGCGCCTTTGCTTCAAAGCCGTAGCACAGGGCGAAAGGCGTTTCACCTGTCGCCCTCCTCGGCGTGGTCCTGTAGCACCACAGGATGTTGGGGAGCTCGTCGACCCAACTACCTCCTGCGGCCTGAAGTTTCTTCTTCAGCCCCTCCATGATTGTTCTGTTGGCGTTCTCGACCTGCCCATTGCCCTGAGGGTAGGCAACGGAGGAGAAACGATGCTTTACCCCAAACTCCCGGAGGAGTTCTTGAAAAGGGGCTGCCTCGAACTGGGTGCCGTTGTCTGATATAATCTCCTGGGGGACGCCAAAGCGTGTGATGATGTTCTTGTAAACAAATCTTTGGCATCTGGCCCCCGTGATGCTGGCCAAGGGTTCCGCCTCGACCCACTTGGTGAAGTAGTCGACGGCGACGATGATGTAGCGATTATTCCCGGCGGCTCTGGGCAGGGGGCCGACCAGGTTGATCCCCCATCTGGAGAATGGAATTGCGGTGCTGACGGGGGCGTAGTTAACAGCTGGCCGACCAGGGGCCTTCTGGAGCACCTGGCATGTGGTGCACTTTCTGGCCAGATCAGCGCAGTCGCGTGCCATCGTCGGCCAGAAGAAGCCCTGGACGAAGAGACGCCGGGACATGCTGAAAGGGCCCTGGTGTGAGGAACAGACGCCACAATGAACTTCTTCCATGGCTGTGTCGGCCTCGTCCTGGTGCAGGCACCGGAGGAGGGTGCCATTATAGGACCGTTTGTAGAGTTTGCCATCTTCGATGGTGTAGCTTGGGGCCCTGAGCTTGGCAAGTTTGGCCCTCTCCTCGTTCGGGGGCAGCTCCCCCGTTGTGATGAAGGTGGCGATGACGGAGATCCAGTCCTCTGGTCGCTGTTGGACGCACAAGACGGGGCTGGCATGGATGCTGGACATGCTCAACTCCTCGATCTTGGCCAACTGGGAGATGTGCTCCGGGGTGTCCGAGCTGAGCTTGGAGAGGATGTCGGCTTCAGCGTTCTCGGCCCTTGGGATCTGAGTGATCTCGTGGGTTTCAAACGCTTTCAGCAATTCCTCCGCTGCTTGTTTGTACTGCTTCATCCGGCCTTCCTTTGCCTCGTACGATCCCTCCACCTGGCCCACTACCAGTTTGGAGTCGCACTTGATCTTGAGGTGCTTGGCCTTGAGGCCGGCGGCGAGTCTGAGACCGCTGAGGAGGGCCTCATACTCGGCTTCGTTGTTGGATACCCTGAAGTTGAAGCGGATGACATAGTAAGCTCTGAACCCTTCAGGGGATATGAGGACGACGCCGCCGCCGCATGATTTCGCGGCCGACGAGCCGTCAGTGAACAGGGTCCACGTGTCGTCCGGCTCCGGCCCGGGGTTGGCGACGACCGTCTCCCTTGCTGTGCATTCAATGACGAAGTCGGCCAAGGCTTGCCCTTTGATGGATGGCCTTGGCTTGATCTCAATTTGAAACTGGCTGAGGAAGATCGCCCATTTCACCATCCTCGAGGAGCTTGTGGGGCTCCTCATGAGTGCGCCAAGAGGCTGTTGGGTCAGCACATGGACGGTGTGGGCTTGGAAATAGTGCCCCAGCTTCTTCACTGTGTGGACGATGGCCAGCACCGTCTTCTCAATGGGGGAGTACCTGAGCTCGGCCTCCCTGAGTGTCTTGCTGATGTAGAAGATGGCCTTCTGCACCCCTTCGTCCTCACGGATGAGCACGGAGCTGACGGCCGACGTGCTCACCCCTAAGTACAAGAAGAGGGTTTCGCCGGCTCTGGGCTTGGAGAGCACGGGCGGGGACGACAAGTACCTTTTCAATTCGTCGAATGCTTCCTGGCACTCCGTCGTCCACTTGAAGCTGTTGGCTTTTCGCATGATCTGAAAGAAGGGGAGTGCCCTCTCGGCGGACCTGGAGAGGAACCGGTTCAAGGCCGCCAGGCGCCCCGTCAGTCGATGTACCTCCTTGACGTTGCGGGGCGGCTCCATGTTGATGATGGCCTGCGTCTTCTCCGGGTTTATCTCGATGCCTCTCCGGCTGACCATGTAGCCAAGGAACTTGCCGCCCTGGACGCCGAAGGCGCACTTCTTGGGGTTAAGGCGGAGCCTGAACTCTTTCATGATTTCAAAGATCTCCCGGAGGTCGTCGGCGTGGGAGATGGCCTGCCTACTCTTGACGATAATGTCGTCGACGTACGCCTCCATCGTGCGGCCAAGGACCGCTCTGAAGATTTTGGCAACCATCCTAGTATAGGTGGCGCCGGAGTTTTTGAGTCCGAAGTCCATGACGAGGTAGAAAAAGATTCCCTCCGGGGTCATGAATGCCGTCTTCTCGGCGTCATCTTCATGCATGGAGATTTGGTGGTACCCTCTGAAAGCGTCGAGGAACGACATCAACTCGCACCCCGCCGTCTCGTCCACCAGCTGATCAATGTTGGGGAGAGGGAACGGGTCCATGGGGCACGCCTTGTTCAGGTCAGTGTAGTCAACACACATTCTGAACGTCGACGGTTTTTGTGCGAGGACGACGTTGGCCAACCATGTCGGGTACTTCACCTCTTTGATGTGTCTGATTGAGAGGAGCATGGCGACCTCCCCTTTGACGAAGTCCCGCCTGTCGGCGGACAAGTAGCGCCGCTTCTGTTTGACAGGCGCGGAGGCCGGATCGACGGTCAGCCGGTGAGTGATCACCTGGCGGCTGATGCCTGGCATATCGTCCGGGCCCCACGCGAAGACAACGGCGTATGACCGTAAGACGAGGAGGATGGCGTCTCGTTGGTCCTGGGGGAGTTGCTTTCCGACCCTGAGAACCCGCTCCGGCCGGGAGGTATCTAGAGGGATTTCCTCGACCTCCTCGGTCGGCTCCGCATGTGGCCTCTCCTCGTCCATGGCGACGGCGGCCGTAATGGTGTCTATCCTCTGTCCTTCCCTTTCGGCTGGCCTCGTTAGCTTGAGGTAGCAAGCTCTGGCTATCCTCTGATTTTCTCTGGTGTAGCCGATGCCGTCATTGGTGGGGAACTTCAAACATAAGTGCTTCATGGAGATGATGGCCTCCAAGTCCTCCAGCGCTGGCCGGCCCAGGATCAGGTTGTGGGCGCACTGGAGGTTGACCACCATGAACTCCATGTCAATTTTGGCGTGGTGGGGGCCGTCACCGACTTCCACGGGGAGGACCATCGTGCCCTCGGCGTCGATAGAGTCCCCGGTGAAGCCGGATAACGGGGTCTTGATCGGCTTCAGCAAAGCTCTGTCCAGCTTCAGCTGCTTGAAGGTGTCCAGGTACATCACGTTGACGGAACTCCCCGTATCGATGTAAGTACGGTGGATGATGGAGTCACCGATCTCACATCGGATGACGAGGGCGTCCCTGTGTGACTCCGTACCTGGAGGCAGATCCTTGTCGGTGAAGGTGATCGCCTCCGTTCGCTGCTTCTTCGGCCGGGGGGGGGAACGTGGGACACCTCCCCAATGTAAAGGGATTGGGCCCATTTCTTTCTCTGAGTGGCGGAGTCCCCCCCAGTGTTCCCACCTACGATGAGGTGGATGTGATTCTTCTTCGGCGGTGGCTACTCGAAGTCCTCGTCGTCGCTGAGTCTGCCAATCTCCCGCTTCTTCGCAGAGGGTTCGCCCCCATGTTTGCCGGTGTTTACCCAAGTGTTCTTGCGTGGGCCACCTTTGACAAACTGGGAGAGTTCCCCCTGGCGAATAAGGCGCTCGATGGCCTTCTTCAATGTGATGCAATCGTCGGTGTTGTGCGACGAGTTCTTGTGGAACCGGCAGTATGTGCCGCCCTGCTGGATGGCAAGGATCTCCTCGGCCGGCCGAGGAGCCTGCTCGATGAGGACGTGCTTCTCGGCATAATCGAGGATGGTGCCGACCGGGTGGGTGAGGGTTACCCCCGGCCGTTCCAGCCTCGGCCGCCAGTGGCGGTCTTTCTTACTCTGTCCACCAGAGCCGTGGCGGCCCTGGGCACCCTGGCCGGCCGGGGACGGACCCGGGGCCGGCGAAGGATTTGTCTTCTTGGGGGGATGGCCCCCCTCTCTCTTGTGATTTCGGAGCTCGTCGGCGTCGGCATACAAGCCTCCGCGTTGGAGCGCCTTGGCGTACGACCTCGGGGGGTCAGTGATGAGGCTCCTGGCGTACGGGGAGCTGTGGAGGGCTCCCTGGTACAAGGCGAGGAGGGTGCGCTCATCGGCCCCCTCAACCTCCTCGGTCTCCCTCGTCCACCGATCGATGAATGACCGGAGGGACTCCTCGTGCTGCTGCTTGACGGAGAGGAGGTGGGTGAAATACTTCTTGGCGCGCTTCCTCCCGGCAAAGTGAGTGAGGAAGCGCTGGGCGAGATCCTGCCATGAGTCAATGCTTCCTTCTGGCAGTCCGTTGAACCACTCGTACGCTGGCCCCTCGAGAGTAGAGAGGAACCACCGGGAGAGGTATTCGTCGGACGCGTTCACCATCAGCATGTTGTTTTGATAACGACTGAAGTGCTCCTGGGGGTCTGATCGGCCATCGTAGGACTTGATGGCGTTCCCCCTGTACTTCTCAGGGATGGGGGCCGAGAGGACCCTGTTGGTGAAAGGGGTCCTCGTCCTGACCTGGATGATGGGGTCACCCCGCCCTTCGGCCAGCTCCCTCTCCAGGGCGCTAACTTTGTTCATGAGCGCGTTGAGGACGGGGTCGTTGGAGGCGCCGGCCGTAGGGATGTTGGCCGACTGCTTGGCCTCCATCTGAGCCAGCCTCCTCTCCAGCTGGGCGATGACCTCGTCCCGGGGGTCCCTATCGGCCGCAGCGGCGCCCGGCTGGTTCCTCAGGCGCTCGTTGTGGGCCGCGTTGATCTGGTGACGCACGTCATCCTCGTGCAACTTCCCCTTGCCCTTGTCCGGGCGGGGCTGGTCCGCTGTCCCGGACACAGACCCCAAACTTTCCCTTGGCGAGCCTGGACGAAGATCACCAATCCGTCCCGCCATCCTCTCCGAAACCGGACGACGGCGCGTGTCACCTAGCCTATTGAAGGCATTGGCTTTTCCACGCGCTGGGGTCTGCCCGGGCCGAAGAGGGGAAGCAGGGTGGGAGTGGGACGACACCGTGTCCTGGGCCACAACCCCCTCATTGTTGCCTATCTGGACGGCCAACGGTTGGGGATGAGGAGGTGGAGTGACGTTTCCCCCGGTCCTTGGCAAGAGTGCGCTGAGGACGATGGGGTTCTGAGCTAGGCTGGCGATGATGACCGACAGCGCGGCCTGGACCTGTGGATCCACGGACGGAGAGGCCGCGGCCATAGGCTGGGCCGGGGCGTGATCCGTCTTTTCAGCTCGCTTCTTGTCCAAGCCGAGGCGGGCATCAGGGGCGCCGCCGTTGAGTTGGTTGCGGAGGTCCGTCGTGAGGTTGAAGGCCTCCTGGAAGAGGTCCCCTCCGCCGACCTGGTCGGCCGTGGCGTCCTCATCGTGCTCCCTGGGCTCTTGGTCCTCAGGGATGGCTTTGCTGACGAGGTTGCGGTTTGACTTAGTTCTCCCCATGATCAGTGGTTAGCTGTGCTTGGTAGCGACGAAGGGTGCTAACTTGATTGTTCTAGCTCTCAACGAGAGCACCAAATGACAGAGTATATCTAGAGAGAAGTGAGAGCTAGAGAGAGAAGTGCAATAATATGCTTCAATAGAATGATTTTGTAACCCCTATAACTACTCCCAAGGGGAGTATTTATAGAGAAAATTAGGGCTGGGCTCCCAAGTCTTGGGCTTGGGAGGCCCATCTACAACTGGACCGCTACTGGGCCGAATTCAAAGCCACTAATGGGCTGTACAAATGAGTAAGTATAAAATCTGATTCTGGGAGGTCTTCTTGGCCGACGAGGGCGCGGCCGACGAGGGCACGGCCGACGAGGGCACGGCCGACGAGGGCACCCGGGTTCCTTGGGCTCAGGACCATAATCCGAGTTGGTCCCTTTTCGACCGACGGGGGCGTCTTGGCCGACGAGGGCGCCACTCTATTGTCTTGTGCTTTCTGTTCTTCCGAGTATGTGGGTCCTGGGGCTCAGACTCATATACTCCATCATATGTATATTAAAAATACGATGAAAGTTATTACTAGTATATTGTCATAATCACGTAAATAAAAAATTTAAAGATACATTATTATTATTATTAAAGTTATCACTCTAATCATTACACTTAAAAACATGTATTTTAGTTATGTATTCCGTATTTGTAATTATTCCAATTTTTAAAGTACCAATAACTTTATACTACCTCCGCCCATTAAAACTTTGTGAAGTTTGACCGACACGAAGAATATCAAAGTAAAAATTGTGTAGTTGAGATTTTTGCAAAGGAGTGAGAAATAACAGGAACTACAACATAATACGTAGTTGATCAAAAGGGAAAGTTACAATTTTTTTTGGATCATCTAAAAAAGAAAGATGACAAAACTTTAAGGGACGGATGATGTATAAAAAAAGTACCAATTACTTTATAGACATAACATTGTAAAATTGTAATAAAATCTGACGTTACTCAAAATTGTAAATATTACTCCGTAAATAATACTCCGTATGATATAATGATAAAATACTAAAGAAAACACATACACACATTAAACTCTTTTCTTAAGAAAGTGAATTAGAACAACCAGGTTGAAAACTCATGACGGGATAGGTACTCGTAAAAGCATTATGCCAGGACTAAGTGACGCCTAAATATGGGAGAAACTCAAAAATGACACTAAAGTTTTTTACGAAGTTTCGAATTAGACATTAAACTTTCAAGTAGACCAAATAAACTCATAATCAACTTATTTGGACTCTATTTGGCCACCCACTTAAAACTCCGTTAAACCCACCGTTAACGGTCCATACCCCTGTTGTCAATCCTTTACGTGCTTAGTCAACTCCTCCCACATCTCTATTTCACTTCCCCATCGTCAAACAAACCTCTCTTCTACGCATATGGCCTGTCTCCAAACCTTTGTTATCCTCCCTCTATCTTCATTTTCAATTGACATCTCGACTCTGTACCTGTTGAGCCCTCCAAGTGGTCCCAGCCTCACCTTCTCCATCCACCCTCGTCGCACCCTTCTCTGCCCACAGATGCTTTCATGGAATAATCTTAAATCGGAGCCCAAGACAGAAAGTGTGTCGGCATTTCATTCTTCTATTACGCTATATTCAATATATTTTCCTCCAAAATGAATGAAAGTCATAGCTTGACCATCAGTTCACATATATTGTTGTTTCAAAACGTGGGCGGAGAAAAATTACCAGAAGGATGAACTTCCCAATCTAAGCCAACCAAGTGGAATTAGATCACAAAGGAGAAGGAATTTGGGCAGTCAATTGCTCCTCTGCTACTGTTTTCATTGCTCTATCCAATTACAGTGCAAGTTGTGGGTCTTGTAGAGTTGTAGGTCCACCGGCATAGTCAAAACTCGGGTTTGGGGGAATATATAGGGAGAAGGTATATGCGTGGGATTTGGGTTTTCAGAAGTTGGCTGCTATGGGTCTGAATCGTTTGATGAAGTCCAGTGTTCTACCGGAGAAGAAATGAGAGCTAGGGCTAATTTAGGTTTTGGGCGAAGATGAATGGTAAGTTGATAGTTGACGAGAACTGCAGTTAATTTAAGTGTGACGGAAGGAGTGTCCTAATATGACATAAAAACGTATAACTTGTGTTTATTTGGTCTACTTAAAAGTTTAATGTCAAATCCGAACTTTGTAAATAACTTTATTGTCATTTTTGAGCCTTTCTCCCCTAAATAACAAAAAGTTGTGGAGCGGAGATTTAGGACAATTATGTATATGATTAGAATTTTTTCTTACGGTACAAGTCAAGCTCATTCAATTATAAAAAAATAATGTTCACCTATACGATCTTACTCAAAGTGTATAACTCTACGGCTCTACACACATTTTGCATCCTTGTTTATCCGATAATAATGAACAAGAACAAGCTTCCTACTTTTTGGAATGGTTTGGAGACAAGAAGTAATGCTTTCGTCTTTTCCTATTTGTGGGAGAGCTCTTTTCAAGAAAATACCTCCATGTTTAGGTGTTGGAATGAAGTGTCAATGAATTTGTATGAACTTTTTAAATTAACCACTACTTCCGTCTTAAAAAGGTTTGTCATATTGACTTTCTTGGTCAATGATGACAAACTTTAGACAATGATTTTAATTATTATATTTATATATAATTTATAAACTTTATACTTTTATGAAAATATTTCGAATAAGGAACATTTTGACATAACTTTCATATTCAAAATAATTCCGTATTAAAAAATATAATTGGTAAAGTTGATTGACATTGATCGAGAAAAGTCAATTTGGTGACTCTTTTCGGGACGGAAGCAGTATAATTTAGCAACTCTAAGTGGATTATTTTTTGTTTTACATAATATTTATTCCAATCCTTCCAATATTCTCTGATCTCTTCTCTTTTAATAATGATATATAACTTCACTCTGGACTTTTCGAATGAACTTTTTATAACTTTGTAAAACCATAAGATGAGTTAATAATTCTAAACAAAACTAATTATTCACATGTTCATGGAGCTCTGAATGACTCTGAAAGTAATTTTTAAGTATTTTGCTAAAACGCATAAATCTATTTTCGGAGAGATTAAAAGAATATGCAATCCTTAGTTTTATTATGGAATATTGCAGGTTTGATGGTAAAGAATTCATGATGAGATTAAAGGGCAAGAAGGTGATGTTTGTAGGAGATTCACTATCCAACAATCAGTGGCAGTCTCTGACATGTCTGCTCCATGTAGCTAACCCAAACTCTAACTATACATTACAAAGAGCTGGAGAGATCTCTAATTTCACATTCCAAGTAAGATTTAGACATTGTGTGTTATGTGCAAATTTTTGTTGCAAATTAGCAATTTAATCAATAATATTCAAGAGACTAAATATGCAATGAAGGTATACAATGTTTCTATCTTGTATCACCGGCGTATGTATGTTGTGGATCTTGACAATAGAACATTGAAGGTAGACTCCATAAGTGAAAATGTATGGTGGAAGCAGATGGATGTGCTCATCTTCGACACCTGGCATTGGTGGTTTCATATTGGGAGGAAACAAGCGTAAGTTTTTACGAGATTACACACACACACACACACACACACACACACATATATATATATATATATATATATATATATATATATATATATGTGTGTGCGTGTGTGATTGTTGGAGTTAATGTAAAAATACCAACAAGACCATTAAAATGTAAATGAAATTGAAAATCACATGTTTAAAAAACATGCAACTTTGGTCACATTTTTTACTACGGAGTAGCATCTATATACTTGCATTGAAGTGCATGCATTGTTCTGAAACATGATTTGATTTTCTTCGAAAAAATGAAATGGTTTCTATGCAGATGGGATTTTGTGCAAGAGGGAAATATTACATACAAAGATGCAAATCGATTAGTTCTATATTCAAAAGCACTTAAGACTTGGGCAAAATGGGTTGAATCAGAGGTAGACACAACAAAGACTAAAGTATTCTTCCAGGGAGTATCTCCCGACCATTGGATGGAGTAAGTTTCTTTTTCTCTCTATAGTAATATATAATTGCCTTTGGGTCATTCGAAAATAATGTCTCTGTGCTTTAGTACAAGGATAAGACTGCGTACATCCGACCCTTTTTACCCCACCGTAGGTGGGAGCCTTTGCGGCACTGGGATAATGATGAGTAATATATATATATATATATATATATATATATATATATATATATATATATATATATATATATATATATATATATATATATATATATATATTGTGTGAATAATGATAATTTCGATATGACATTTTCTTTTTAGTTTACATTCATCCTTAACCAGACTAGATCTGAGCAAACATGAAATAATAAAATATATTAATATTATGATGCTTTTTTGATAACTTTTAATAATACGGAGTGTGTGTATATATATATAATTTTATGAAGAAACAATAATTAATACTTTTACATTTACTAACACTATTAGTCAAATGTTATAACCATAATTGTTGTTATCATTACAATAACAAAGAACTTAAACATGTTTTTATCATATTTTTCTTTTTAATATTTTTAAAAATACGTAGTACTCCGTATTATTTATGGTTTGCATCCAGTTTTCTGTTGTTTTTATTTTTAGGCATTCACCGCCTAAGCAATCTTTGTTCAACAATGAAACACCCATGACTAATGAGTCTTTTGGCTTTAGTTAAATTTATTTTAACTTCACCAGCGATGTCCAAAAAATAAATCAAAGTTATATATTTATGTAAAAGTTGATGTCACATTTAGCGAGAAGTGGAGTAAAAGTTGACAGTATTTGAGTATAAAAGTAAAATTGAAATATTTGATAAAAAATACTTTTTGTGTAATCACAAAAGTGAAAATTAATTCAAAGCCGTCTCAATCTATCCGGTGTTCATCTTTAAAGTATTTAATTTTAAAATATGTAGGTTTTTGGATCACTGTTTTTAAATCTTCTAAAGGTAAAAGCTGAAAAACACTCCTTTTGAAAGCAATTTAAAACACCACTTGACACTACACAAATTATGCTTTTCCAAAGTAATGCTGGGGGATCCAAAGCAAGGACCTGTGAAGGAGCAATCAAACCAAGCAATGCTGAGAGAAGGGGACATCCAGGAGAGGAGGTGCTGAAGGAGGTTCTGAAAAACATGTCGAAACCAGTGTACCTGCTGGACATTACGAGGATGTCGCAATACCGACCGGACGGCCACCCTTCCGTTTACGGTGTCGGGGGACACCTCAGCCCTGATTGCACTCACTGGTGTCTTCCCGGTGTCCCGGATTCTTGGAATCAGCTCTTGTACACTTTCACCACTGCCCAGTCTCATATTATTAACAGCATTTCATCTGCCCCTTTTCCCTTTTCTGCATTATTCTTCACTGCTGCTTCATCTGTACTACTATTCTTTTTATTATTTTTCTGGTTATGAGAATCCGCACTGTTCTATCCACTCAACAAACTGGCATATAGAATTAATATAAATCAAAATTTTATAGATTCAAGAACTGACTAGGGAATGATGTGGAATAGGTGAAGTGGCATATGGTATTGCAGGTTGGGTGATGTGGAACTGTGGAAGCAAAATACCCTAGTTTGAAAAATAAGTTGATTTAAAAGTACCCTTAGTTGGGAAATAAGTTTTGAAATTACCTTTCCTCCGGGAAAAAACTCAAGATAAAACCCTAAACTATTAAGATGTGGGGCACTCATACTTACGTATTGATGACATCGTATTTAAAGCTTTGTGAGCATGTTTAATCCATATGGCAGAAGATTAAAGCTAGGGATGGATTGGGACGGGCCTACTCGACCCATTGTCCAACTCGACCCGACACAGTTTAGGCCAGGAATAGCCTGATTGTCCGGAACCGGTACGGCGGTACCAAGCCAAAATTGCTTTAAATCCTTAAAAAAAAATAGGCATGTCCCAACCCGGGCCCGGACGTAGCCTGACCGGGTAACCCGGCTCGACCTGGTACCGGGCCTGAAATCCTTAAGTCTGAAGCCCGCCCAGTCCCATCTCGAAGCCCGGACGGTCCTACCACAGTCCACCTCTAATTAAGTAATATAAGCAATGTCAATCCCAAAAATTTCATCTGCCCCATTTCCCTTTTCATCTGAAATCCTGATAAAAACGAGTCAAGAAAATGAAAGGACGAGATTGAGACGGGAAGGTAATTAAAGTTCATTAAAGAGTGGAACGAGCTGGGATCAGGATAAATGACTGGATGAAAAAGGATATGATAGTGAAATAATTTAATTAGATTCTTTTCTAAAATAAAAGTGAGAATTTAGTTAAGAAATATTCATTTAATGTATTGGATGAGAGACATTAATGAGAATTTCATGCGAGACATTGGATGATTGGATGGGAGTATTGATTTATTAATTTGAAAAAATACGTTATTTTCTTCGATATTTGTTTCTTTTCTTCAAAGCTTCTGTATGCTTTTTGTAGGGGGTCGGGGCGCCCCTGGGGTCAGGGGAGGGGGTTGGGGGTCTCAGGGACCTTGTCACGGATTTTTTCACGGATCCCAGTTCAAAAAAACCGTGTCAAAAAATTTTGTCACGGATTTATCCGTGACAACATTTGCGTGACAAAAATTTTAGTCACGGCCAATATTCCGTGACAACAGTTTGTCACGGTCTTGTCACGGCAACAATCCGTGACAAAACAAGTCACCGGAGCAACACCGGTGTTTATAACATCCGTGACAAAAAATTTTTATTGTTTTGAATTGTTTTTTTGAATTCAAATTTTTTTACTTTGTCACGGATTTATCCGTGACAAAAAAATTTTCGATTTTTTGAATTGTTTTTTTGAAATATCCGAAATCGGCTTGGCGGGAAACTTGAGTTTTTTTGAATTCAAATTTTTTTACTTTGTCATGGATTTATCCGTGACAAATATTTTTGGAATAATAAAAAAAAATATTTTTGCGCACAATTATTGAAATTATTCTTGGAAAAGTTGAAAATTTGTCACGGCCCGAATACGTGACAAATTTTTTATATTTAAAAAAAATTAAAAAAAATTGCGCACTTTTTAATAAAAATTCAAATTTAAAAACTTCGTTTAATAATTAAATACTTTAAAAACAATTCATACAATCACATAATGATTAAACAAACATTAATAACAATAATCATTTGAAATTCATTCAATAAAAATAATTTAAAATAATAAAAATTCAATATCAATTACATTTAAACTAATTATTACAACCCCAATTAGGCATCATCATTGTCATCATCATCATTGTCATCATCAACAAGCTGTCTGGGCTGTTCGGGTTCCCTGTTGCCACGAGCACCTCCTCGGCTGCCCCCTCAACTGCTTCGGCCTCCGGGAGTTGGATGTGGTTGACCATAATATGAATATGGAAAATTTGGGGACAGATGGCTATAATTGCCAAACGCCATACCGCTCATGCTGCCCATGAAGGGAACTTGAGGGGTCATCTCGGGATGCTGAATGTGCATGGTAGGGCAATAGGTGGCGTTGAAACGTTTCATTTGACGTTCAAACTCAGCCATCCGTTCTCTAGTTCTCGGTTCCTCTTCCTCCCGGTCCGCCCGTTGCTGAGCTATTTCTTGCTCCAAGCGGGCAATCTGTTCATCCCGTTCATCATTCACTTGATGAGAAGACGAGTTTTCTCCTCTGGAGTTTTGCAAGAGTCGTATGCCTTCAGACCCCAAAAAGGGCACTCGGCCCTTGTAAACTCCAGTGGCCGCCAAAATGGCATCATCATCGTCAAACTCATCAAGATCAACATCAGAATCATCACCACGCTCCATGACCTTCTTTCCTCGCTCTTCCTCATACTTTCTCTACAAGTTCAAAATTTTATTATAATCAAGATAAAAAACGAAATTTATTGATAATTGAAGTCGAGTTATTTACTTCAATTTCGGAGAGGCGAGGTGGCAACGACGATGACTCAGACCCGTGCGGATTCCAACAACTTCTCATAAGTTTCCATGGCGTCACCCTCTTTTTCTGGGGTCCAGGTCCTTGCTACACAGATTTTAAGTTATTTAAAAAGAAATAGATATTTACATATGAGGGGGTGTAATGGAAATAATTTTCAGGAAGAAGAATTTACAAGATCTTTTTTATGTTGAACTTGAGGTTTGCGGCCCCCGTGCCATTGTGGCTCTTTGGCTCTCTCCGAGTTCTGGTTTGCTTTGCCGGCTTCGCTTCTCTTCAAAAACTCCGGATCCATAGACCAATGATGAACGAGGTCCTTCCAGACATCATCACCAAGGAATCCCGGCTTTTTGCACTTACTCCGGGCAGTCCTAAAAGTGGGTCTCAACCACCCCGAGACTCTAGATTTGTACTCTTTTAGAACAGCGACATCTTGGGATGGATGCCATCGATGTTGGGCCTTCATTAAAAAAATTGATATCAATTGTTAAATTTAAGTTTCTAAAATGTGAGAAATATCACTTATTTTTACCTTGAACATCCGCCACCAAAACTCACGGACGTTGGCTGGAACCTCTAGGTAGGTCGACCAAGGACCGGTGTAATGACCGGTAACTATAGCTTTGATTCTTTACAACACCTCATTATCGCTTCAAAAAATTCACAATTGATAAAAATATTTATAACAAGTTACAGAAAAATGAATTCCGTTCTTTCTAATTAGAGAGAATTAGTAATTAATTACCTATGAATCGATAGAGATGTCACCCGATGCGCATTGTTATTGTTGCGCTCGGCTTAAGTGGGGGGGGGGGCATACACCGGGCGAGATGAACCTCCACGAGAGGTTGATGCTCCGCCTTGCGAGGTGACCGCATGTGCATCAGACTGTTCAGACGGAGGGGTTTGCACATGTCTCTCATCTTCATTGGTGTCAACATTGAAATCAATTTGAGCATTCGAGTTGCGTCGTGAGTTGGAGGCACCATGACGGGAAGAGGTGGAACGACGACGTTCATGTTCACTAAAAAAGTTTGTTTTTGGAAATAATATAACATATTAAACTGTGAATGAGTTTAATATGAGGGGTATAAATTTTTTAAAATAATTTGTTTATAACTTTAAAAAATACATTTTTGTACTATTTTTACTCTTATTTTAGAAAAACAGTTTTGTACTAATAAAAAATAGTATATTTTAAAATTCAAATTATATTAGCATTTTTCTCATAAATGGCATTGGAATAGTTAATAATTTTTAATAAAACAGTTTATTGTGTACATTTTATAAAAAACAGTTTATTTAGTTGTGGTATTAACTTTTTTTTGTTATTTTTGTTGTGTATGAACAGTTGTATTAATTAAACAATTTATTAATTTCGAAAAACAGGTAATTAAAAAGCAGTTTCTTAATTTTTTTAGTTTTGTAAATTAATTTTGAAAAACAATGTAATTTTATTTTAAAACTACAGGTAATTAATTCATAAAAACAGTTTAGTACTTTTTTGTGTTATTTATATTAATTTATAAAAACAGTTTGTGTATATTATAAGTTCCAAAAAAAACTTATACAGTTAATTATTAAATATGATTTTTTTAAATTGAACATGTTAAACTTGTTGAAAGTTTAACATGAGGGCGATGATGAATGAATTTGTGTTTTGAAAAATAGGATAATTTTATTATAAAATCAGTTTATTTTATATTAACCTTATAAAGTCACTTTTTTATATTAATACATAAAAACAGTTTGTTAATTTTGTATGTTATATATAGTAATATATACAAACAGTTTGTGCTTATTATAAGTTCCAAAAAAACGTATACAGTTTATTATTAAATATGATTTTTTTAAACTAAACATGTTAAACTTTTTCAATGTTTAACATGAGGGGTGCAAATTAATAGTCCTAATTAATGTCTCAAAATTTCCGAAAATATCCGAAATATTCCTATATGTCCGAAAATCAGCATACATTTTGATATATAAAAATATAACACGTACAACATGCATTTATATATAAATGTCCGAAAATGAGAATGCAAATAAAATGATTTAAGTATAATAACATGCATTTGAGTATAGATTCATGTAAACATAGAAACATATTGAATGAATATAATCATATAAACATATAAATGAACAATTAATATTTAGGGTATGCATTTATAAGAAGTAGAACATACATTCGACGGCTAGTTGACCGGCGGCTTGTCACGGAAAAATCCGTGACAAATTCGTGACAAAGTTCAAATTTTGAATTTTGTCACGGATCTGTCACAGATATTTCCGTGACAAGCCGCCGGGAAGGTTTCTCGGGCAGTCCGTCGCTTTGTCAGTGCGTCAGTGCGGCAGTGTGGCAGAGGAATCAATTCGGTTTTGTCACGGATTTTCCGTGACAAATCCGTGACTAATGATGCTATAAATATGTATTATCCGGCCCAATTTCTAAATGCAAAATAATGACTACTCCACAAAGACTTAACTGGAAGTACTTGTGCAGAAGTGTGCACCGATTGAAACTAGTTACACAGTTGATGAGGCCCACAGATGATGAATCAGTGTTGATGA